TCTGAGATCGCTGCTGATATCTTTGCTCCTGGACAGTCCTATTGGATCTAAACCATCCCGAAGAGATGGTGAAAGTGAAGAGCACATCCTGTCGATCCCAGAGATACCACAAAGTCCCTGGTAGATCCAGGAGAACTCCTTCTCCAAGTGTTGGAACTGTAGACCTATCTATCTTGAAGATCTCAAGAGAGGCACAATCGTTTTGAATAGAAGGAAGAACTTTGTGGGACGAGATGAACTCAGAAAAGGAACCAGTAGAAGGTTTAGGTTAAAGATGAAATGAGTTTAATGTTTCTGGACAGTAGGAATTTCTACTGAGAGTTAGAAATAGTACATTGTTTATTGGCACATGGGTAGATGTTCCAGTGACCTGCTAAGTCACCCATGAACAAATATCATCCAACAAATATTTAGCAACCCAATTTTTATGGTAAGACAAATTGTTCTTTCTGTCTTTCTTGCCTCCTGTGAATGCCTATAATTTCTAAATTTATATTCCACTATAATATAAAGGCTAACTTTTGTAATATTTGTAGATGTATTTGCGGATAAAGTAAAGACACATAATATAGTTTTTTTCGAAAACACTACCAAATGCAGGAGGTAAAACTGGGATAAAGGCAGCTTTGGAGCAAATTTACTTCTTAGTAGATCTGAAATCATAAATGCAACTTAAAAACATGTTCAAATCTTCTTGAAAAATAGGAGCTTTTTTAAAACAAAATCAGGTTTCTAAAGTTAATTGTATAAAAGCTATTGTACAGAAGCTATTGTACAGAAGAATTTGTAAGTGAATAATAGATTGATTGATTAAGTTTATGTTCTTCCTCTGGCAAATCTTAGGTAGTTATGGAAGTCAAGAGAAGTTAACCAGATGGGAATCTTATCCAGGAAGAGACACTGAAGTTAGGTGAAGGTCAAGAAAGGCAAGACGGAAGCTGCAACTATACAATTTCTTTGTGCATCACAGATACTACATATCCCAGACACTAAGCTTAGAATGATACTCAACAGTCTGAAGAATTTCTAGCAATCTGTGTTGTGGTTTAGCTAAAGGCAGAATCGCATAACAGAAAAATAATGTATTGGTCCTAGATCTAACAGCTTTTTGAGACATTTTTAAGACGGCTAATAGAATTGGAAACGCTAATTATCTAGTTATACGTGACAAGTATAGTTCCGAGATGGAATGCTGGGATAAAGAAAGTAAGAATGTAAATAAAAATGCTCCTTCAAAGCAGTAGAAGGACAAACTCCAGAATTATGTCTTCTTCATGGATTGGAGCCAGAGGTGGTATTCAGCCAGTTCTGACCAGTTCTGGAGAACCGGTAGTGGAAATTTTGAGTAGTTCAGAGAACTGGCAAAAACCACCTCTGACTGGCCCAGGCCCCCACCTATTCTCTTCCTCCCAGCTGATTGGCTGGGTCTCCTTTGTTTGCCCTGCCCAGGAGAACGGAGCTGGAAAGCAGGTTAGTGGGGTGGGGAGGGAATGGGGATTTTGCAGTATCCTTCCCCTGTCCAGCCCGCCAAACCATGCGCACAGAACTGGTAGTTAAAAAGTTTGAATCCCACCACTGATTGGACCAATCAAGATTCAGCATGGATAAGATGTTTCTTGAAGCCAATATTCCACCTCATAAGCTTTTATCATTATTATTGTGATTGTAGTTGTTACTTTTTCAGACTTCACAAAAGGTTAACAGAGTTCCTTCCAAGATGTTGCATACTAGAGATATTTCTGTAATATCCTTTCTATCATTCTGTAGGCATTCTCATCAAGACTACTACTTGGCATGGTGGTAATCCTTTGGTAGGTGTGAGTAAAGTAAATAGATAATAGATATATAATCTTGTCACCTCTGACTGTCCATCTAACTTGGCATGCAAAGTTATGTAGCGTAGTTTTAAAGTCTGGTGAGTCAGTGCTTTGAGCTTTTCTTGTCAACAAGTTTGTGTAGTCACGAAGTTCAACAAAGTTCAGGAGTGAGACAAAGAAGCTCTGCAGCCACCTGGATAACTGAGGTGACTGCCAACTATAAGTTCATGCCCAGTGCAAAGTCTACTCTGTACTAAAACCACCACCGAGGGCCATGAAAAGACTTTAGACCCCTGCCTGGAACTGTCAAAATCACTTGAAGAAAAAGTAAAAAGCCAGATACTGGACACCTTGGTTTAATCTGTCAAATCTCATTCTTAGTGTAATGTCATGGTCTTCCTGAGTCAGAAAATCATGGGATTTGCAATCCAGCACATCTGGAGATGCCGGCCTGAAGAAGTATTTTAAGTACTAGTGACCTTTGGTATTGGATGGCGGCAGTTGGGTTATTGTCAACTAGATCTGGAGATTGTGTAGATCTTAACTTTTAAACCTTGTCGAAGGAGGATAGGAAGACACAAAACTGGGGTGGCATCGAAGCAGGAACCTACTTCTGAAAGATGGTTATTACATTTCTTACATTGGTTCTGATCTTATTTATTCATTCATTTATTCATTCAATCAATCAATAAGTTTAGAAGATCACCCAATTTCAGTACGACTCTGAATAGCTTCTGGAGTTAACAATCAGAAGAAGAAGAAACATGATTCTAGGGCAGTATTTCTCAACTTTGGCAATGTGAAGTGTGGTGGACCTCAACTCCAAGAATTCCCACCTGCCTGGCTGGGGAATTCTGGGAGTTGAACTCTACCCCGCTTCAAGGTTGAGAAACATTGCCCTCGTGAGATATTGAAATAAATAATGCATAAGTATTACAGCCATTCATAGGGTTGTAATTCTTCCCAATTCTAATTTGTTCCTCAACCAAAACTCGGAGTCTTTGAAATCTTGGGCAATGGATGCTTACTCAGTCTTCAAAATTAAGGAATTGTTTTGATAGGTGTGCCATCAAAGAATTCTCAGAAATTAAAATAGGTTTCCTAACATCTTTGTTCGAGTTGTAACATGACGTCCATCTCAAGACAGCCAGCATATAAGACTGATATCTGAGACAGATGGGATTCAATGATGTCTGTCTGGCTGGCTGTCTGTCTGTCTGTCTGGCTGTCTGTCTGGCTGTCTGGCTGGTTGCCTGCCTGCCTGCCTGCCTGTCTGTCTATCAAAGAAAGTCAACTGAATAGTGAGGAATTGATTTGTCAGATACGACCGTTCCTTGAAAAAACAACATTTTAGAATTCGTACTTTACGCACGGCAAGAGAGAAAGCGGAAGCATCTTTCATGTGCGCGGTCTCCGATCTATTCTTCGCATCACCTGGCATGACCAAGTTCCAAATAGCACACTCTTGGAATGTGCTGGAATTCCTCTGCACTATTGAAACAGCGACATCTACGCTGGCTTGGGCATGTCGTGAGGATGGCCGATGGTTGGATTTTGAAAGACCTCCGGTATGGAGAATTAGTGCATGGAAAGCGCCCGAGAGGGAGACCAGGATATCTGCAAGAGGGATCTAAAGGCCTTGGGAATGGACATCAACAGCTGGGAAACCTTGACCTCTGATCATTCAGCTTGGAGGCTAACGAGGCAGAATGGCCTTCTCCAATTCGAAGAAGAGATACTCATTCGGCAGGCTGAGGCAAAGGGACAGTCCCGGAACCAGTGAAATCCGGGGGCTGGACAGAGGACAGACTGCATCTGTCCTCAGTGTGGAAGGAATTGCCCCTCTCGTATTGGCCTTGTTGGCCACACTAGATGCTGTTTTAGGACCTCTTTTCAGAGCACGTTACCATAGTCTCTCGAGACTGAAGGTTGCCCCTGTCACTCAGCCTTGGAAGAAAGCGAGCCCATTTTGAGAAAATGGGCTACTTTTCAGGAGATGCTAAAGTCGGTAGAGCCAACATCCTCTCCCAGTTTTGTTTGGTGTCATTTGTGAACACATTGCAATTGTGGTTCATGCATGTGAATGTAGCCAACTACGATAGTAGGCTCAACAAAAGTTTAAACAAATCGTGGCTCGCCACAACATTTAGAAACAGATCTCTACTCTACCTTCACTGATCACTTACTCACTCCTTAATATGTCCTAGGTTGGATGAGAGCAATGTGTCCTCCACAGAGCTGCCAATCAAGGTGGCTAGGAAGTAACCTTCTTAGATTGCTGATCTCGAGGTCTAGGAAATTCTCTCGGACTAGATCAGGTCTAGATTCGATAATGACATGGTATTTTCTCAACAAATTCAACCTTTTCCTAGCTTGTTCCCAGGCCTGGCTCAAAAGGCACAAACTCTTCCCTTATTGTAAGAACTCCACAAAGTGGTAGCGTTTAGAAAATTGAACTCGGTGTTTTGCACGTGTCTAGATTAACCTGCTAAATCGTGGTGATTCCTAAGAGACCTGAGATATTGTTTAAATTGGAGACGCACAGTAGGGCAGCCTCTGTCTCTATTATGCATTTTGAACGCTTTTGCGAGAATAAGTCGAAGTTGCATGGAGGGAAACACCTTCCTTTTTGATACTCGAGCTTGCTGCACAACATTGAGTATATTATCCTCGCTTGAGTAAACATCTCTTATATTCCAAGCAGGTTGGTCCTACACCCCTTTGACGCTAGTAATTAATCTGCTAGTGATTTTCTCAGGGATCTACATTGCTGCCTTGAATGAAGCACAGATTCTCTGACCTGTTTCCATTTAAAGGGAAGTTGGGGAGGTTGAAAATGGTATTTATTCTATTTATATTCTGCCTTTATTATTTTTACAAATAAATCAAGGTGGTGAACAGATCCAATACACCTTCTGTTTTCCTTACAATAATCCTGTGAGGTGGGTTCAGCTGAAAGAGAGGGACTGACCCCAAATCACCCAGCTGACTTTTATGCTTAAGGTAGGACTAGAACTCACCATCTCCTGGTGATTGGCCTAAAGTCGCCCAATTAATTTTTGTGCCTAAGGTAGAATTAGACCTCCCCATCTCCTGGTTTTTCCTTTGGGCAACCTTTCTTTTGCTCGCTTTAAAGTTGTAGCTTTCTACTAAAGCAACTCAAGAAGAAGAACAAAGTGAAAGCAAGTGAAAAACATCCTTTATTTATCTCATATATCTATATTTTACATGCTTGCTTGTTTTTGAAATTAGGTATTTTCTGCCAAGAAAGGCAAGGAGGGCTGGCTAATTAAACAAAAGTACAACAAAATGCAAACCAAGCCATTTAATGATGAGTTAAAACACCATTAAAATTCATCAGTGGTACAGATTCCTTCAAATGAAAGCTCCCATCTAGCCACTGTTTCCAGACTCTCTGAGGCTGAATGAGATCATCTTTACATATTGATGATATCAGTAGATATTAGAGGAAAAAAATCAATTGATTTTTCTGGGTGAAAAGTTCCAAATTCTGATGGTGATAAGAACAGTCCAACTCATGAACATATGCAGTCTGGATTTGCTAACTGGATTCATCACTGGCTTAATTTATAAATCAAAAATATGCAAGATATCAAGTTATACATCATCATCACCAATAACAACAACAAATATTAACATCTCCTCCACCTATCAAGTGCATTGTTATGATTTCAACCTTATAAGAGCTACTTAAAGCATCTCTCCAAAGCTACTTAAGACTATTTCAATGGTTTTCTTCCAAAGTTCTGTGGCAACATTCTGCAGTTGACAAAGCCCAAAAACTGTTGCATCCGCTGCAGGGATGATTCTTCACTTTCTCAGCCAACCTTATCGTGGGACTAACTTCAAAACGATTGGTTTCTTTGGAACTAAAAATGTTTGGTTGCTCATGACCAGAGGAATCTGTGGGAGAGGGAAAGAACAGAGAAAGAAGTTAGCAAATAGGATAACCCAACACAACTTCCAGATCCACAAGGCTGAAGGACACCACAGAAGGTCAACTAGGACCTTTCAAAGTCTAAACAGAACCATGGGACACAAACTCATTCCTGCTTGAACAGTGTATTGGAGTAGAAGTCTTCCAAGATCCCTTCCAACTCTGTTATTCTGTTATTTGGAGACCATCCATTGATACCCAACATCTTTGGGCAGTTTCAGGATACTAGACCAAGAAGGGACAAGGGCCAAGTTGTAAAAGAGATCTGTTGAAGGGCTGCTCCTGTAGAAATATCTAATCTAAGTGACTTCCCTTTTTTCCAGAAGATAATAAAACCTTTCTCTAAAGAGTGTTAGGGGCTGCCACAAAGAAGAGGGGGTCAATCTATTCTCCAAACCTCCCAAGGACGGGACAAGAATCAATGGATGGAAACCCACCTAGAACTATGGAGAAATTTCCTGACAGTGAGAACATTTAATCAGTGGAACAACCTGCATCCAGAAGTTGTGGGAGCTCCATCACTAGAGACTTTCAAGAAGAGATTGGACAACCATTTGACTGAAAGGGTTTCGGGTTTCCTACTTGAGCAAGGGGTTGGACTAGAAGACCTCCAAGGTCCCTTCCAACTCTGCTATTCTGTTAATAAATCTATTCCAAATCCATTTTTCTCACCGGTGTTTCTTTGCAGACTCTAAAGGAGAAGCGCTGCATAATGGCGGCAATAGCAACTTTCATGGTGACCAACGCAAATCTCATTCCGATGCAATTCCGGGGTCCAGCTCCAAAGGGGAGGTATGTGTAGGGATCAATGTTTTCTTTGTTTTCTTTGCTGAACCTGGGTGAACAGAGGAAGGAAAGAATGTCAGGAACTGTAAGAAGGAGCTAGGACCTCTTCATGTGTGAATGTGGCCTGGGCATTGCTTAACCATGTCTTACCCCACTACATAGATTCACTGGAAATGCAACACCTCAAACAGGCCAACATTTTTGATTGAAGGCATTACATGAGCTCAGAATTCATCTGCTATGGATTCAGTCCCGTGGCGAATTCAATAGCCACCCTTATGTCAGGTGCATAAGATCAAAACTGGACATTGCAGTTCAAAAGATTTATTGTTCAAGCTCAAACACAAGAATTTGGTCCATTAAAGTTTCAGTACTAAATTGGCACCAGAGAAGGGTCAATGGAATTCAAGAGTAGTTGGACTTTGATCAATTGTTGCAATTTAAGGACTCCGGGCTGATGATGCACTTAACTCCTTCCCCCAGTTTTCTCTGCTCTTTTCCTACACTTTTGTTGTACACCACCCAGAGTCACTTCTGATGGGATGAAGGCTATGTAAATTTGTTCAATAAAATAAATGGAACCTTCAAGGTAAAGAGGGCAGTCCTGGGTCCCAGTTACAAGTTTAGTATCTCTGTCAGTTTTTCCATTACAAGAAACAAAACCCAACAACCTTGATGCCAACTCTAAGGTGGATCTCAATTAGTGTCTCTTCAGAGAATGCTTTTGAGCCACTGTCAAGTAATCCAAGTGTGGGGAAATAATCCCTATAAGAATGATGCTCCATAACAAGCCAATCATATCTGCCTTTCAGTGGTGGGATTCAAAATTTTTTACTACCGGTTCTGTGGGTGTGGCTTGGTGGGTGTGGCAGGATACTGCAAAATCCCCATTCCTTCCTTACCCCACTATCCTGCTTTCCAGCTTCATTCTCCTGTGCAGGGCAACCAAAGAAGACCCAACCAATCAGCTGGGACTCCATGGGAAGAGAGATGGGGTTGGCGGGGCCAGTCAGAGGTGGGATTTGCCGGTTCTCCAAACTATTCAAAATTTCCGCTACTGGTTCTCCAGAACTGGTCTGAACCGGCCGTATACCACCTCTGCTGCCTTTTCTATTCTTCTCCACCAAGGCAAATGTCTGGTTTGTTTTTACCTCTCAGGTCTGAACTCTTCTGGTTCCGGCCAGTATTCAGGAACCCGGTGCAGAACGAAGGGTGGGATCATCATCGCGGTGCCTTTGGGAATGGTCATCCCATTGATTTCAACATCCGTCTTGCAAATCCTTTCAATACGCCCTCCGAGAGGATAGATCCTTTGGGATTCATTCAGCACCATGTCAAGGTATTCCAACTGCATGATGGCCTCATAGGTAAGAGGTGCCTTGGGGGAGGGGATAATTAAAATAATTAACTTTCTTTCCTATCCAGTCTACCTTTCTTCTCACAGATTGAAGCAAAGATCTCCTTTGCCCGTTTCCACGATGACTCAGTGTTGGTCAAAATATGAGTTTCCTAACCCTGGACCAAATTCTGCATTAACACCATGATCCTATATCTTGCACATCGGATAACAGACTCTGGAGCTTGTGTCGCTAATTCAATCATTTGGATATTATTACTGTTTTTAAGCCATCCAAGCAAAGTGAAAAGAATTCGCTTTCCTGAATTGCAGACCTATGATTTACACGATCCAAAGATCGCTTGGAGAGGGGGAAGATACTTCTAATGTAATCTACTCTGGGATCCACTACATGAATTGCTCCTGTGACTATGTGGGACAGAGTGGAAGGAAGCTAACCACCAGGTTGCAAGTACACAAGCGAGCAATAAAAAGACCTGAACTTGTTGGGAGCCTCACACTATAATGGAACAAGGACATAACATTCAATTTCACAGCTACTAAGATTGTTGGCCAAGCAGGCACAATAATAGCCAGGGAAGTGATTGAAGTCCGGGAAATGGAACCCTTATCAGTCAACAGGATTTACCACCAGTTGATCAGATACTGGGAGCTAAGGACGTGGCAGCACAAGGACACAACAGCCATCAACCTAATAGCCAGCCATCAATCACCTCCCTCTCTGGATCCATCCAGAGAAGAAGCTTCTCAGATGAGAAGCGAAACATCTTCAGAGAAAAACCAGAAAGTCCTGTTGCCTCTTGAAAAAAGCACCTTTGGGACTACCAGAACCTGGAGGACAGAGAACCTCCATGGACATTTAGCAATCACCTCATTCCTTACCTTGTTTGGTAGAATAGCATCTATTTCCTCTTGCAGCTTCTGCTGAACATCTGGATGAGTAGCTAAGTTGTAGGCCATGTAACTAAGAGAATTACTGGTGGGTTCATATCCAGCAAAAACGAAGATAAACGCCTGGGCTAGAATTTCATTATCAGTCAGGCCTGCAAAATAGAAATAAAAATGAATAGGGTGATACAGTACAGAAAATTTACTGCGGGCAATCATTATGACTTCGTACCAAGGATAATAATGGGCCTTGCCTCGTATTGTTTTATGTGCTTCGAAACACAGCTAAAAGATGTCAAACGTCCTAGGGCGTCATAGAACAACATTGATTGATGCTGACTTTGCTTTAAAGAGGAAAAAAAATCACATATACTGTCTTTTGTTGTTGTTGGTCTTTGAATCATCTGTTTTTTTGGAAAAGAACTTCTCGCTAGAGTTCACGATAGACTTTGGAAGTGCCGTTGATTGAGACTTGCAAGATCTACTGGTGGGGCGAGTCTTATCTTGCTAAAGTTTTTGAAAATATGATGCTAAATTGTGGAAATTAGCATGTGATCTACTCCAGCGATGAGATTATCTTGGAGAAAAATCTATTGATGGGGCTGCTAAAAGATGATAATGACACCTAATGAATCAGTCAAGTATGTGGCTACAGAACTGAGACAGTGGGTCTTAAGCAAATTACTTCCAATGAGCCCCATCACACATTTAACAGAATAACAGAGTTGGAAGGGATATACCAATATACCAATACACCACAATATTTAGAAAACGCATAACGGTAAACAGGAACGGGGCAATATTACCTTTATATGTGTGATCCAGTCCATTGCTCGTAGAGTTTTTGTTATTGTTTATGGAGCCCTTGTTGTTGTTTTGGGAGGCAATCATCATCTGGAGGAAATCCATCCGGCTCTGGGGATCAAATGAATGGACCCATGAAAACTGACATGCAAGTTTCAACCACAAACATGGCTTTTAGGTATACTATCAGACTAGGATTATGACAAAGTGACCACATGCTTAATGTTACACATATTGATGGCAGCAAGGATTACATATGCTAAATACTGGAAAAATATGAATACCCCACCAGATAAGGTTTTAGTTAGGAAAATTTGGGACTGTGTTGAAGTGGATAGATTAACTTTAAAAATTAAAGACAAAGACACTTCAGAATACTTTCGAACATGGAATCAATTCTATGAATGGATAGAGAAAAGAGGTAAAAATTAGAAAAAATACAATTATGAAGGTTAAAATTATAGATAGTGAAAGTAAGGAAGTAGATACATATCAATGTAGTAATTGATAAAAATGTAATTAACTTAAGGTAAGAAGAAGAAACCTAGATCAATTCTCTTGGTTATAGTATTTGTACTGTTATTAATAGCATTTATTAGTGTTATTCGTTTGTATGTTGAGATTTATTACTGACATATGTTGGTTGTGTTTTATTTGTAAATAATGCTCTGCCAATGCACTGTTATTTAAAAATGTTTATGAATGAAAATTTGTAAAAAGAAATTAAAAAGAAAAAAGAAATCTGACACATAAGAAGGCAACTTGGGTGTCACTAAGCATTAAGGAAACAGCGGTAGGGACAAAATAAGGGTAGCCCTCCCCATAAAACCATTTCATTTAGTGACCATTTGAAGCTACAGCAGCCCTGAAAAAAGCATGAGTGTTTTTCACACTTATGACCGTTGCAACATCCCCCTGGTCACATAATCAAAATTCAGATGCTTGGCAACTGACTCATATTTATGACAGTTGCAGCGTCATAAATATGAGTGATCTTCTGACAAGCAGAGTCAACAGGGAAGCTTAAAACCCTTGTAACTAACTTAACAACTGCAGTGATTCACTTAACAACAGTGGCAAGAAGGGGTCATAAAATGGAGCAAAACTCGCTTAGCAAAGAAATTTTGGATTCAATTGAAATTGTAACTCCAGGACTGTCTGTGTATGAGCAAATTCTTTTCCTTGGAGAACACTTTGCTCAGCTGACAGCAAACAGCACTCCTTACTACGGTAGCCCTGATGGTGTTCCCTAGTTTGGTAATGAAACGTCTGCAAGAAAACCAGCAGGCTCAGAGAGCACCAAAGTGCCTTCACTTTGGTCAGGATTTTCTTGCCCAAATCCATTAAATTCCAGCAAAATCTTGGTGCTTACCCCTTCGCCTTCCTTCAGTCGCGATTCCTTCATTTTTGAAAAAGATTCGGTGAAGAAGTTCAGAGCCTCCCGCGAAAAAGGGCTTATGTTCAGGCTCCTGAAAATTGTCATGAGACTTGGGAACATAACTGAAAAAGAAATTAATTGTGAAAGGCACCGCCATGTCCCTGGAGGAAAACAATATTTTATTATACATTTGTTTCTTCCCTTCGAGTACCCAAGGTGAGCAATGAATAAACATTAACAAGAACTATTCAAAAGGCCACACGCCAGTCGCCGTTTGGCGGATGCATGAAGAACCTCTGGATTATGCAAAGATGCACTGCATCTCTTTGTACGAAAATACAGTGCAAGATTGTGTTTGTATCACAGCGCGAGAAACTCAAAGCAGTGCCATTATCCCTCATTAATTGGGAGCAGGCAACTTGCAACCTTGGGTTGATACCTGCTGCTCGGTTTAATTTCATTTTTCAAAATCTGTCTGCAAAAGATGAGTCCAAGCTCCTCAAAAAAAGGGGGAAAGAGGAACAGCGACGGAGAAGGAGACGGGCGAATGGACGAAAAGAGGCCCAGCTATAGAACGATGAAATTACATTGCACCAAAGTTTTGGGTTATGCACGTAATCCCAGTCATGCAATCTTCTTTGAGTCAACTGCAATCAAAAGAGAAGGAAGGTTTCCCGTCTCTAATCTGCTACAATGTCCTACCAGTCAATGACTACTTCAGCTTCAACCGCAACAATACAAGAGCACACAACAGATACAAACTCAATGTAAACCGCTCCAATCTTGATTGCAGAAAGTACAACTTCAGCCACAGAGTGGTCAATGCCTGGAATGCCCTACCTGACTCTGTTGTTACATCCTCTAACCCCCCCACTCCTTTAACCTCAAACTATCCACCACTGACCTTACCCCATTCCTAAGAGGTCTGTAAGGGGCGTGCGTAAGGGCACCATCATGCCTACCGCCCCTGTCTTATTGTCCCTATTTATTCGTACCTATTTCCTGTATTCTTACTCATGTTTATAACTTATACCTATTATCTTGAAAGCAATTGACAAATCAAACAAATAAAATAATCTCAAATGCAGCAGAAGGCCCTGCCAAGAGAACAAAACAGAGAGGCAAAATTTCTCTGGACCAGTTAGGGAAGACTACCCTGGATTCTAGAAAGCAGAACTTACATGCAAGAATGAGTCGTGGGTCAAAAGCTCTGAACTTAGTTAGCTTCTTGATCTGTGTGACGAAAGGATCTTTGGGATTGTTCATGGAGTTGACGTCTATCCCGAATGAAGTGCTGGTGACCACATCCATGCTGTAGGCTCCAAAGACGCTAAGAAGAGAAAGGAGAGTAATGGATGATCCAAGCAGCAGGAGTTTGGTGACAAAGATTTTGGAAATAGCTGCAAAGCCAGACAGAAGATACATCAAAACATGTGTAGCCAACACAAAAAGCCACAGCTTCCCTGATGAGATTGGTTTGTTAAAACATCAGTGGAATCCCTCACACATCTGGAGCACGTCAAGTTGAATAACGTAGGCCAGATGTCAGCAGCAGCAGCAGCTTTCCAGGGTCCTAGATTGTAGCCTGACCAAGAATTGAATTGAGGCATTCAATGTCCAAGGTCTATTGTTGCCGTTTGTTTAGGCTCCAGTTGGCTTGATGGCTCTCATGTCTTTGTTTTCCAGCTCGAGAGCCCAGGCTCATTCTTCATAGATACTTTGGGCAAATACATTCATTTGGTTTCTACCATTTCACGTTTTCTCTATTTCTGATCTTTATAAATACATCAGTGTTGAAATAAAATAGTTGACAGACAGAGATAGAGATAGAAACAGAGAGACAGAGACAGAAAGAAAGAGAGAGAGAGATTGGGTGGGTGGGTGGAAGAGAAAGATGATAAATGATATAGAAGATAGAAGATAAATGAGAGAGAGAGAGATTGGAAGGATGGATGGATGGATGGATGGATGGATGGACGGATAGAGAGAGAGAGAGAGAGAGAGAGACAGACACTGACTTGGAAACACACAGATAAGAGATAGAAAGATAGATAGATAGATAGATAGATAGATAGATAGATAGATAGATAGATAGATAGAAAGATAGAAAGATACTAAAGATAAGATAGAAAGATAGAAAGATACTAAAATAAATTTTGCTGCACACTTCCTCGAGTTACATGTCTCCAAATCCCTGGATTTTAATTTGCAATTTTCTCCAGTATAAATATACTTAGCATTTGCAAACAAGCCCCATTCATATAATGCCTTTTTCCTATATTATTTTAATCCAAAGATTGCATTTTTGTCCAGATTTGTCCCAAGCATGTGAAATGTATCGCAACAGTACACATTTTCAATGATAACCACATTTCACTCTGGGTATCCATTGCAAAATGAGAAGTGGTTTTTCAAACACAACATTACTAAGGCCATTTCTCCCCCCTCCCCACTTGTGACAGCGCTGAATGGTCTTTCTGCTCCAAAGAACTTACTCTTTCATATGTATGGGCTCATCGTTTTCCATTTTCTTCTGAATGTTTTGAATTAGAATCTCCCCGTAGTGTTTAATGATGGGAAACATCTGAAAAACAAAACCCCAGTTTTAAACATTGATGGGCAGTTCCCTTTCTTAGTTGCTGGTGTGTTTCAACAAAATGCCATAAATTATGGCATTCATAATTCATAAATAATGACAAATTCAACAATGATGAAGATAGTGGCAGCCTTTCTTAGGGTTGACAGGTTCCTCAAAATTTATTTTTCTTTTTCTGTGGGGCATTTTAGGGCTGAAATGGACAAGGTGGCTAATCTGGTCCAGGATCAATATTCTTTGGAGATCTGTTAGGGCTTTTTATAGAACTAAAATGTCTCTTGAGATGTATGGCCCTCATGGTCCATATTTACTCAATCAGAATAGGAGAACTGGTTGTTAACTTTCTGAGCAGTTTGGTGAACTGGTTGTTGGAAGAACTCATGAGGGCAGAGAACCGGTTGTTACATTATTTGAATCCCACCACTGCCTGTAAGGTAAAAAAACACACAGACATATCTCCTAAATAAGCAACGTAGGAATTGCTCTTCCTATGACAGATGTGAGACACACTTTTCAGTACTTCCAGTTGGGGTAAAAGCTCTCCTCCTTCCTAAAAGCAAAACATCTAAGCAAAATATATATATATATCAGTTCTTGGCTCCTGAAGTTTGCTTTCTTCTACTTGAGCATCTCTTCGTAATGTAAAAGGGAACAACATTTTGACGGTTGCTGGTCACGTTATTCCTTCTCACTGGAGAGCAACTAGGATTACTTGGGGCTCTTAAGAGGAAACCTTCTCCTTTTTGTTGATTTCATGGTCAATTGTTGTACAGTTGGGTACAAAAAGAACATTTTGGAACATACGGTCTTCAGATTTTGTACATTGTTCATAAAACAGAAAAGGGATTGTTACTGTGATAACGCTACATAACCTGAAAAAAGTACATAACAGGAAGAGATGATAAAACCTCCTTCAAGATTTTGTTTATTAGCTGTTTCCTCCCTCCCTCCCTTTCTTCCTTCTTTCTCTCTACTCCTTCCTTCCTTCCTTCCTTCCTTCCTTCCTTCCTTCCTTCCAAAAGTCAGCTCTAGCTTTGGGGCAGCAAGTGAAGTTTAAACAACTTCTTTGAAGAAAGAAGTGGAGAAACTGAATAGAGAAAGTTTTCTATTCTTTTAAGCTTTTCTTGTTACCTCCTTCAGCTTCCCGCTGGTGAAAGTGGGAGAGAGCACGGTGCGAATTCTCTTCCATTGTTCATCTTGGGCCATAGAGACTGCATTTTTTAGGAGGTTTGGTGCAGGGAAAGGCTAGAGATCAGGAAGAAAACATTACACAATATTCAGATTTCAAAAACCCAGCCACGTCTGAAGAAACGTTTGGATGCACAACACCACTAGATACCACTTAGGGGATCAATTCACCCATATTTTGAGGAGGTGAAGGCATCTACCACCTGCTCCCAACTGTGGCTCACCTTAAAAATGATCTAAGCAAAAATCTCATCCCAGACTTAATCTTACATGTTTCAAAATTCAAGAGACAGAGAAAAAAAAATCCAATTTCCTCCTCCCATCTTCTGGTTTAACATATAGCCATACATAATTTGCTATCTGATGGTTCAAGAAACAAGAGACTTACACGCCGATTGGTAAAAGTACTGTAGCATTCTTTCACTAGGACGGCCTTGATAACTGCAGGATCCAGTATAGCAATAATAGGTTGACGGCCTTCATAAAGTCTGCATTCAGAATAAAGAAATACAAAGATATATTATCTGAGATTATAGCATAGCCTTTCCTCTTTGGCCCCTCTTCTCTGAGCTTATAGGTAGCCTTTTCTACTTGGCCCCTGCCCTGGTTTGTTGACTAGATATTCCATCATTCCCAATCCATCATTTCTGAGGAGGATGGGATGTGTAGACTGGGTATTGCTGAAGCATCCTGAGTTGGGACAGACTTATTGTCATGGTGGTCTTTATGGAGAATCTAAAATGGAATGACTGACGGTTACATGTTACAGAAAAACTTGAGCAATCAGAAGTATTCCTACTTGCTGATGGGTTCTCAGCTACTCTTTTCCAGACGATGGATTTGGTGGACTTTTCTTTCGTACAGACAGCCACTTGTACCAATGCTCCAGTTGCTCAACTCTCAATAGACTTAACCTAACTGAGATCCCACAGAGGAACCAAGTCAACCTCAGGTCATGTTGAAAAGCTAAATTGGGTCATCAAGTTGTAGGGTTGTAATCTAGACAGAGAAGATGACAACATTCTGGCCAAAGGCAATGTCAAACCACTTATTTCCTGTTCTCGAGAAGATGCCGTCAATGAACATGTCCATGAGATAACTAGGAACACTCAAAGGACATTTTTACATTTACTAGTAGGTTACACAACCTCTAATGCAGCCAAGATGATTAGGGGACTGGAAGCTAAAACATGGGAAGAACAGTTGCTGGAATTGGATATGTTCAGTTTGATGAAAAGAACATGATAGCAGCCTTCCAATGTCTAAGAAGCTGCCCCAAAGAAGAGGGAGTCAAGCTATTCTCCAAAGCTCCTGAAGGCAGGACAAGAAGCAACGGATGGAAACTCATCAAGGAGACAAACAACCTAGAATTAAGGAGAAATTTCCTGAAAAATGAGAACAATTAACCAGTGGAACAACTTGCCTTCAGAAGTTGTAGTCGCTCCACCACTGGGGGTTTTCAAGAAGGGATTCAGCCATTGGTCTGAAATGGTTTAGGGTCTCCTGCCTTAGCAGTGGGTTGGACTAGAAGACCTTCGAGGTCCCTTCCAACTTTGTTATTCTGTTCTTTCACACGGAATAAAATAGGGATGTGCCCACCAAAACATTCTGCCATAGATCATTTCATGAGCGCTCCTTCCCTTCCTCTTAACTTTTCATGCAGGAGAAAGCGGTTTAGCGTCTGCACTTAGATCTGCTTACTTTCTAGGAAGAAAAGGTTTCTCTCCTCCTTTAACAGCCAAGAGGATAATCTCCCAGAAAAATCATATTTGAAAAGGGCAACTATTTGCTTTGTTGTAGCACCAGCAACAAAGCATTCTGCTGGCTGGGAGCTTATCAACAAGAAGCCATTGTGTGTAGCTATTATACAGCTGGTCCAGCTTTTTCCCCTCGATAGATCTGTACAGGGATGGATAGCTTTAAAAGATGTCAGAAGGAGCCATGGAAAATATCCACCAGGGCTCCAAAGAGAAGAGAGGAACATCTGGATTTCTGGTTAATTCTATAATTTGGGACAGCCTTGGTAGCTATGAAAGAGAAAGCCAAAGATCCTTGGATGGGTAGAACTTTGCAAGCATTTCTACAAACTTGTAAATATATGCATAATAAAGAAAAGCTATAACTTCACTCAGAAGTTTAAACTGCAACCTATTTAAATAAATATTTTATCAAGCCAATGAGAAGCAGAAACTAATCCAGAGTCATCAAACTTGCTGATGAACACTCAATATTAGTTTGCTTTCCTATCATTTTCTTCCTTCCTTCTTTTCCTTCTTTTCTGTCTTCCTTCCTTCTTCTTTCTTTCTTTTTTCTTTCTGTTTTTTAGTCTTCCTTCCTCCTTCTTTACTTCCCTTCCCTTCCTTTCCTTCTCTCTCTATCCCGTCCCTCCCTCCCTCTTTCTTTCTTTCTTTCTTTCTTTCTTTCTTTCTTTCTTTCTT